CAAACAAATTGTTCATGCTCTGTTTATCTTTCTTGACAGCTTGGCGATGCTTTATTGCCATGTCTTTTTCACCCAGGGACTCAATGGTTAGCTAAAACGACAACTTTCCCCACGGATAAACATTAAAGAACTCCATGTTGTTTGTAAACTTCACCCAATCCATATTAACGGCTTTTGTTGAGTCAGAAGCCATTAGGATTGAATGCACGAAACATACAAGGCACATCTTAAACTTCTTCGAACTCCTAACCTCTCATCCGAATCATGTCTCGTAATAAACACATTCCCCCCCCCCCCCCCCCCCCCCCAAAAAAAAAAAAAAAAAAAACCTTTCTAACCAATTTATCAGTTGCCCTACTTTTCGCTATTTTCTTTTGCTCTTCCGCATCTAGAAATGCCCCACATCTTAGACCTGTCGTCAGGGAAAATTTCATCATCCCAAAACGTAGTGGCTTCCCATCCACCACAAAACACATTTCTTTTTTTTTTTTTTTTTTTGCTTTTAACTGAGTGCAGCAACATATAATGCACTCCTTGCCCCTAGAACGCCTTCTTCCAATTTTCTCCTATGTCTGCAAAATGACCAAAATAACTATCTTTGAATTGGTCGATACCCTTCATTTGTTCCTTTAAAATATCCTTTATTCTCATAAAAACTTGCCAACTCGACCTAACTGTCACCCTTACAGGGAAGTACAGTATCTTATCGCTGACAACCTCCAACCCATAGTCTTTATAATTTACGCTTCAAAAAATCTACACAATCGATATAAATTAAATATCAGCGAAAAAAGAAACCAGAACAACCAATAGGCTACCAATTTGGGGGATATGAGCTTTGAGGGCAATGGAGAATGGGTGTTTTTGGCTTCGAGGGGATAGGGCAAGCCAATGCAGGCCCTATAGAGACTATTGTGGCAGGTTCCATGACTGGAGATGGCTGAGGATGGCACAAGGGGGTGGAATAGAGGGGTTGGGGGCTAGCCACAGGCAACATGCATGCGTAGCTGTGCGCACGTAGCCCTGTAATATGCAGGGTAGCCTTCTAGCCCCCCTATTCCACCCCATTCTACCATCCCTAGCCCTCCAACCTCCCACAAACAACCTCCCTATGGTCTTCCTTACCTTCCCCCCATCCTTTGGAACCCAAACAAAGTCACTCCCTCGATGCCCGCCAACTACTCAACAAAATGCCTATTGTGACTATTTCTTACGCTAGCAAGTGCACTAATCGAAAAGTAATAGAGTGATGAATAAAGTGTCGAATCCCACAAGGACTGAATGCTAAACAAACAAATAAATTGACTAATCTTAATTGTTATTTGAGATAACGAAATTGATGATGTGAATTTAAAATAAAAACAAGAATTGCTAGAAATTAAAACAATTAAATAACAAAGACAAATATCACTATATGATAAAAATGTTAAGGGTTTCGATTCTACCTAAACCAATGTTGACAAACATACTATAAAAATCAGATTTAGGAAATTTATTGATCTAAAGATGGCTAAATCTCTCAATTTAACACAATTGTGAAATTCATTAATAGTTAGGTCCCACTCCCGCTTAAAACCTAAACTGGCCACATAAACCTCATAAGACTCTCCCGAGTATCCTACTCAATCTATGATCCATGCTATTTTAATGACCTAAAGTGATTTCACCGCTCGGTTTATCATCACATCAATAAAACAGTTGAACACAATGAAACCCTAATCAAAAGATTTCTAATCAAACTCCACCGCCTGGTTCATCATTCAATAAGAGCCCTAAATAATTAAAGAAACATCAAATCCAAAAGCATTAAGCAAATCACACAGATTCTTGTAGAACAATAAATTCCTGAATGCTTTAATAAAATTGAAAATCAAGTCAACATGGTTCGGTAGAATATACCCCTTAACAATAACAGTCTACTCCATAATCAAAGTGATAACAATCAACATCAGTTTTGAACTCATCATCATAACAATTCCATATTGATGCATAAAAGTAGAGTAAGAGAAAAAAAAAAAAAACTGAAATCTTGAAGAATTGATCTCTGGAAAAGTATCTCGCCGACTTCTTTGGAATGAATGTGCTAGCCTCTTTCCTTTGATCTCCTCCTCCTCTTTGATGTGTTTTTAAAAAAAAAAAAAAAAAAAAAAAAAACCCTCACCTCCTCCCCTATTCCTAAGGACCTCTCTTTTTGGTATTAAAGTCGTGAGGTATTATGGTAAAAAGCCACACTTAAATTAAAAATACATGATAAAAAATTTGCTTGTCTTCCATGCACTAATGTAACTTTCGGCTCAATTTTTAACCATTTTATAGGCTGGAATGGATCACGACAAAAATTAAAAGTTGTAGCCCTATGTCTTATCTTTCTACTCGTTCAAGAATTATCCCAATATGAGGGATACATCTCATGTTATGGAAAAATTATTGACGCATGTTCAAAGACGTTTTTCTTCAGTTCTCAACGGGCTGTTCACAACTTCAAACCAAATTTTCACCATCTTCCAGTCAGAATAAGGAAAAAACACCAAAATGAAAGTTGTAGCTCTGCTTCTTAGCTTTTCATAGCTTCTAAATTCAGGTCATTCCAAGTTGAAAATCTCAAATTACGTAATTTACACTCAACACCGTCATTTATACTCAAAATCATCGTTTAGGCCTACAAAGTAAAATTAATAGAATTACGTAGGAATCATGGACCAAACTATATAAGTATCCTATATCCTATTGAAATTAAATACAAAATCACTATGAAAAATAGGATTATCAATGCCCCCAAATTCACACAAACCAATCAATTTTTTCATCAAATTCAAAACCACCAGTAAAAAATGTACATTTTCTTCACTAGCGTCCTCCTTGTTGCCTGAATTCTTGTCGGCGTCCTCTTCTTCAGAACCATTTTCCAATTCTCCTCTCTGTTCTTGTACCGCCAGTGTCTCCTCTGCCGCTGGACCACCTTCACTCATCGGATGATCCACCGGAACATCTTCTTCGACAACCTTTGAACAGTCGCCGCCATCGGACTCTAAGATTTGGAGTAGGGTTGGGTTTTCCTCCTCTTTGTGAATATAGCCATGATTTTTGTGTAACGAAGCTTTAGGATCAAATATTGGCCGAAAATAGGGAACTTTTATCACCGGAAATCGCAAAGAAATGGAAGGTGTTTCGCTAATTGTTTTTTGGGTATACTGCTCGATTAAGCGATTTTGAAGGGAGGGGGGTTGTTTTTTAATTTGCAAAATTTAAACAAATTTCCATTAATTAACTATTACCCATATACGTTTCTATCTTTTCACTCTAGCCCATTTTTGCATGTTTAGTTACAATTAAATGTGCCACGTCAGATTTTTAAATTAAATTTTTTTTTTTTCCAATTTTCAGGGTTATTTTTTAAAATCCAAACTTGGGATGTTTGAGGAGTTAAATTTCTTCATCTAGGTGTCATTAACCCCATTTTTGTCAGAGTAAACGACTTTTTCCCACCCAAGGATTGCTTTAATGACACTTTCCCACCCAAAAAGTTTTAAAATACCACTTTTTCACCCAAAGTTAGTATTTCATTACTACCTAAAGCCGATTCTTACAATGAAAATTCTCTTCGTTATCACCATTTGAACCTCTGGTCTCTTCTCTACGAAACCCATCTCACTGTGGCACCTAATTTCTCGCCGATTGTCAATCACCACAAAGCTAAAGCTTTATGTTCTTAGCTGATTTTCGGCTGATTCCAACAACGAAGATTCAGTCGGTCACCACCATTCAATCCACCGACTTTCACTCTAAAAAACCTCTCTTACCATGACTCCTAGTAACTTGTCAAACATCGATCGAGAAAGTGAAATGTATTTTGGGTATTAACGGAATATAAATTTTGGGTGGAAAAATGTCATTAAGGCATACCATGGGTGCGAAAAAGTCGTTTACTCTTTTTGTTAACAAGGCTTAAACAAGATTTCGAGAAGGGAAGTGATCTTTAGCCCTGTCCTTTTCCTTTATAGATACAATAATGCTAAATGTACAAAAAAATCTTACAAAGATTTGTGTACAAACTAATGTGGCAGAAAATGAATAGAAAAGTGAATATGATGAGTTTGACTTTTTGTACTTACTCTTCCATTCATTTTTTGCCACATTAGTTTGTACATAAATCTTTGTAAGAGTTGTTTGTACATGTAGCATTACTCTTATAAATATTGTCTTCTATTTTAAGTGGGGTTATATTTGTAATAAAATATTTTATTCTTCTCTTTCCATTGTTAATCCAGAATTTATATTTGCAGTCACCAAATAATTAAACAAATTTAGGTCAATTAAAATTCACAATTTCATGATTGATTTACATCAAAATGAGTTAATGTTTCTCCTGTTTTACAAGAATTAGCTTTTGGGTCTCATATCTTTCTATACCCGAAAGCAAGTATAAGTTAATCAATCTTGAGAATTTTCCGTTGAAGTATTTGATTCTTATAAGAGTTTTTTAGTTCTTTTCTTCTTCATATATTATTCCTTTTTCGTTTAATCTTGTTCTTCTTTTCTAAGTTTTGTATTTTAGAGTTAACAATTACGAATCTATTCGTTATAAATATGATATTGTTCCAATTAAAAAATAATCATTATAATCATAATATTGATTAAAAACCTCAAAAAAAAAAAAAAAAAAAATAGAAAGAAAAGATGGGAGCTAATGACAAAAAATATGGGGGCTAAAATCATTTCCATTTCAAGAAGGCTTTCTCACATTTGAAGCCCACTGGGCTATGCAAGACAAAACCCAAAATTTTTATTATTGGGTTATTCCACCCTTGCCTCGCAACACGGATTTTTTGGGGTGGGGCGAGTAATTCCCAGCAGGAAACAAGTGAAATCTAACTCATCCCTGTACTGTTTAATGAGTTTTTCTTTTTGGCTTTTAAGATTTTAATGATTCTCTAGGCATTTGATGGTTTTTAAGCCATTGGGATAGTAGGCTGAATAAAGTCCAAAGTAAAGTAAAATTATGAAAACTACATTTAATAAAATAAGCAAACCAGGGGCGAGTCCAGGGTTTTGCAAGGGGAAACCACACCCCCACCCCACCCTTGGGACCAGGGGGAAAGTTTCCCCCAGAATTGGCCTGGGAGGTAGGAAAACAGTGTTCATAGGAATTTGTTACATTCATATAATGTTCATCTTGTGGGCATTTCCTTCCTATATTGTTATAATATAATAAAAAGTGGATAATTGTATCATATACTTTTGTCTTCAAACCATGCAGCGGTGAGCTTATATGTACTACTGTACTAGCATCACCTAACAACAATGGTTTTTATTTGATTCTTATTTTTAGTTTGTATTAGGGAGGATAAAATTAAAATTATGAAAAAGGGTCTAAAAAGAAAATTAAAGTGGTCCAAAGTATTACTCTAATTTCCCTCTTTTACCAGTACAGGTATGGCCTTACACTCCGCCTAAAGTTTCCCGCCATTTCTCTCAATGTGGTGGTCTTTTTTCCTTTCAAGAAATAAATAAATCCACATTCCAAAATGCCGTCGTTAAGCTGGAAGCACCAAACTCTGATTCAAGCGTTGATCACTCGTGGCCCTCTCAAGGAAAATGACTTCCATCACATCTTCTCTGCCGTAACGGGCAGGAATCCAGGTTTTTTTCTTTCCCTTTTTTGGTTTACTTAGTATCTTAGGGAAAGTTACGGTGCGATTTGACTTGTTTGGCTGACGAGAAAGTGCGGCACAATGAAAAATTACAAAATTCCTTGTTATGCCTTGCGAGAGTTCTTGGTTATCTTTATTCTTTGTGGTTAGGTTTTTTTCTTTTTCTTTTTAACTAATTAATCATGACAATTCTCTTGGGGTCCATAATAATTACCCTTATTTTTTAATTTCAGTTTAACTTCTTTTGCTTTCGGTCAATTTGATTACTTAATTGAAAATTAACTTAGAGCATTTATCTTCTGATTAAGTTTTATATATTCCATTCTCTTTGCTTTAGCTACTAAAAATGTTTTACTCAAGGTTGTTGAAAAAGCTTATAATTAGCTTGTAATTTATTATCAATGCAGGTGCTCATCAGGAGCTGTTTAATGAGTATCTCCTAAAGATAAATAGGGAGCTATCATCATGTCAGTTTGAGTTGCGAGGGTGCAGAGACCAATATGATGGCCATGTTTGTTATGGGGTGGTTAACAATGTTGCTGACGAACAGTCCAAGCTTGGAACAAAATACTCTGTTCCACAGATTGCTTTCTATAAGGGCATTGTAAGTCTCATTGTCGATTCTCATTTGTTCAAGCAAATAATTGTTTTTACCCGTGTTGGTGTAGCCACATCTAGGAAGTTAGCTTTTAGACAAATATGTTGGAGTGATTTCTTTCATCATTGGACGGGATTGGAACTCAAGTTATTGCTTTCTATGATTTATGTTTAGCAATTTATTTGGTTTCATTTTCTGTACAGTAGTATACAAGTTTCTGCTGGGAAATTAAATCCATCAAGGAACCCTTATATACATTGAGCAAGTCTGGTTATCTGTAACCATATGTTGTGTATTATACAAAAATTCTGACTCTTGTGGTGGTACTTTTCCACGTGTCGAAGACTTTACTTTATTAACAATTTCAAAAATAAAATAAAGTAAGATGATAGAATTTTGATACCTATTTTAGTTTTAGGAATACTTGGCTTAAGTAAATAACAAAAGGTTTTCTTGGACAATTATTGTTCTCCATCCTGCTGAGCTTTATGAACATACAAGTGAAATATTCTTTGAATATGTAGAGTTTAAAATTTTTCTTCGCTTAATAGTGTTTATTTGCTTATGGCTATTTATGATAAATATTTGAACCAGGCTGCTGGAAGAGTAAACGTTAGAAAGTTAATAAAGATGATGAAATTTTGAAAATCACTTTAGTTTTTGACAAGCATTTTGAAAAGAGCTTTTATCAATTTCAAGGAAATACAGGTTTTTCTTGTATCTTGCCAAAATACAGGATTGTGATTGTATGCTTTTCTTCTTACTAGGGTGCTTAAAAATACAAGAAGCATCAGAAAACTGAAAATGCTATATTCTGGTAAAACTCATGGTATATATATCTCATGTTTGGAAGTTCACGGGATATAGTTGTATAGTTTACTAACTAGCTTGATGACTCTCTGAAGACATAATAAATTCACGTATATGAGAAAGATGCCAACTTGGCTTAAATTCATTATTGTTTTTATTTAAAGTGATTATATTGGTTTAAAGAGAAGAAAGATGCTCATTTGGCTTACTGTTATTCTTGTTTTTTACTTAAAAGAGTACTTATAAATTGGTTTAATAGAAGAAAGTTACCCATTTGGCTTATGGATATTTTTGTTTCTACTTATTGTGCATACAAATTAGTTTAAGAGAAGACAAATGCCCATTTGGCTTGATAACCATGTACTTTGGTTGATTGATAGAAGAGAAGGAGGGCAGAAGGAAACTCTCTTCAAGCTTTGTTGTGAGGAAAAAAGAACCTTCTAAATTACAGTTTTGATGACAAATTTTTTCATTCGAATCTCATGTTGTATCTTGTTATAAAAGTGATAGGAATGAGATTTTGAATAACCGTGCCTTTTGTCATATCAAAATTCAAAAGTAGTTGTATCATAACATTCTATCTTCTTTGTTCATTGATAGACTTGTCTAGGTTTTCTTATGATTCCCTCTTGCATCAGGAAGTACAATCTTTATAGTTTTGTGCTGATCTATGAAGTCGACTTCTTCTTTTGCTTCAAAGTGATCTTTTTTTGTTAGCCTCCATTGAGTTTCCTATTGTAGCTTCGGCTTTTTGGGATTTGATTGAGGAATAGGAATTCTTGGCACATGTCAACAGTGAGGTTGTGGAATTTTGTTTAAGAGGCTTAGCAGCTGCCTTGGATGTTGCATTGAGCTCATTTCTTGCTAATTCAATAACTATCTTTACTGCAACAGCGTGTAATATTTTAATTTATTGCTTTCATGTTCTATCTTCTATTTTCTAACTTCAAATTTATCTTTTATTTTTGCTATTAAAGTTTGTTCACTGCCAGACCTCTTTTGTGTCAAGTAGCTTTAATAGGTGACATTTTTTTGCCAGATTTGGCCAGTCTTATGCTAGATATCAATTATACTTGCTGCACTAGATTTATAGTCTCCATTTGTTTTTTTTAAGCTTGATCTCAAAGGTAAGGAAGCATCACCTTCTTAATTTAGTAATCAATATTCCTACCTTGTAGTTTGCTCGTTATGGGAAAATGAAGTACATCTCTTTTGCTTCATTCTCTAACTACATTTACTGCAGATATGATATCATCTCTAACTGATCCTTGATTAATATGGTAATTGGAAAGAAAAGAAGGGTGCATTTACCTTTCCACATCAATTCCAGGAGAAAAAGGTGAAAGAATGTTGATGATTTGAAGAAATATGCAGCCAAAAAAAATTATTTGAAAGTATGAAATGTCAGTAATCATAATCATCTTGTCAAAGTCAGGAATGATTGGCCCTTAAAACTTTATATCTCTTGATATCTATTTTCGGTTTTTTGTCAAAACTAAATCTAAAAATGAAGGCAAACTAACAAATGAAAAGGACCATTCAGTTTCTGCTTTGAAACAGACAAGTCAAGGAGAACCTCTGAAATTATATCCCCTTCTGTTCTAAGGACGTCATTGGTTAACATACAGAGTCTTTTCCTGTTTTTTTATGTGCCTTGCTTCTGTTTCATTTTTTGAGAAAGTTTAGCTATCCTGAACCTGTTTGATGTTTGCATTTAATATTTCATAAGGCATGTCTTATTATTGTTTTATCATAAGTAAGCACCTTGCCTTACATTATTTAATCTTTTGACTGTTCTTTGGGTTATGTTTTTTCTTTTGTTCTTGTCTTCAGAAATAAGCGCATATAATATCTGTCATTGCGTAAGCTTTTTTTTGTTTTTTTGTTTTCTCTTGTTGTAATTGACTTTTTTACACTATTCTGTTTTGTATTCAATTGATGCTAATTATCAGATAGAAGCAATTGCTCAAGATGTGATGGCTCAAGGTAGCATATCCAACATTGATGCTCTCAACATACAACTAGAGAATCAGGTTTAGTATTTTCCCCTAACATATATATATGTTTACAAGTCAAAATCTATTAAATTGTTATCTGTTTTCATCAAAATTCAAGTTTCTATTTGTGGCAGAACGTAATCTAGGAACAAACAAAACTTAAAATGAACAGTTTTCAATTTTGTTACTGAATTATAGTTTTAAACATTGATGATATGCAGCAATTATGTCGATATATTCTTAAAAAAAAAAAAAGAAAAAAAGGAAAAAAAGAAAGAATTAAGTGAATAAGCTTAACAAGTATGAAGAATCAAAACTTAAGAGTCAAAATAATCAGGGTATTGGTTTTGGTTCAAAAATTGTTGATTGGCTTTAAGTCAATATAAATTGTTTTCATATGTTTCATATCATTTTATCTATCAGTTTCAGAAACTTATCTAACTTACATTAGTTTTGAGGAATATGTTGCAATAAAAGGAAATTGACCTCAGTCTAGCTCCATAAATTAGCACTGAGGGGTTGGAGAAAAGGAAGTTGTCAATTTATTGTTAGTCAATGACGTATAGTCAAATGATCAGCCAACACGACTTCAGAGTTTAACTCCATGATGATTGTGTGAGTTTGTTTAATAACTCAACTGCAAACATTTTCCTGGGTTTTGGTAAGAAACTGAAAGCTGTTACCTCATTAATTTGGTCTGGCTTGCAGTTGGAGACTTAAACAGATACTAAGCCTTATACAACTATTTTAAAACCAAGTTTGGGACAGTGATTATCATTTCAACTTTATTTTCCTAAAATGGCTTCCTAGAGAGTTTTTACGATAAAATTGTGTACCAGCGGAATTTCCTTGTCTTCATTTTTTGATATCCTTCTAAAACTTTTATATACAATTTAGTCAATTTTAAAACTGAAAAACTGTGGAAATACTCCACTGCTGGTATTTTACTTAGAGCATCTGATTTTCTTTGGCGTAGCAAATGGATTTTTGCTACCTGCTTTATTAAATAGAAAGAAGTGTTGTATCTGGTTGCATTTCCATGTTTCATATTCCATTAGTTAGTTAGGTGTGATGGCCATAATAAACACATGAGTTTATGTAGTACTGTTAAATTAATTTTATTGGGAGCTCCCTCACCTTTGCTCCATTTTCTCCTTTGCAAAAGTGTTGTATGTTGTTAGGATCCCACATTGGAAGGGAAAAGAGTGGGCATGTGGGTTATAAAGGGTCTGGGCACCCTCCCCCCTCCCGCTCCCCCACCCTCCTTGGCAAGCCAGTTTTCCCAGGAGAATTCTACTGAAGCCCACAAAAAAGACCACTGTCCAACCCAATTTCTATCAATTTGGGAGTGGTTTCTTATCAGAATTCTCTTGTCATGTGCAACTAATCTTGGTTGGGATCTACAATAGTTTGATGTCAAGAATGCATTCTTGCATGGAGATCTGAAATAGGAAGTTTATATGGAAACTCCTTTAGGTTTTACTAATGAGAAAACTCAAGGAAAAGTTTACCGTTTGAAGAAGGCATTATATGGCTTGAAGCAGTCACCTAGAGCATGGTTTGACAGGTTCATTAAGGCCATGATTTCTTTTGGTTATCAACAAAGTAATGCTGATCATGCTTTATTTATCAAGCACTACAATGGTAAGCTTACAATACTCATTGTTTATGTTGATGATATAGTAATGACAGGAGATAACTTAGATGAAATGGCTAAGCTGAAAAGATATCTAGCTTAGAAATTTGAAATCAAAGATCTTGATAAGCTACGATATTTTCTTGGGATTGAAGTTGCCAGATACGATAAGGGGATGTTTATCTCTTAGCGAAAATATGTCTTAGATCTCCTTAAGGAAACAGGTTTGTTGGGTTGTAAACTAGCTGACTCTCTGATTGTGGCCAATCACAAATTACAAGCTAGCATTGGGAAACCGGTCGACGTGGCTCGCTGTCAAAGATTGGTTGGAAGGTTGATTTATCCTTCTCACACTACACTAGATATAGCCGATGTTGTAAGTGTGGTTAGTCAATTTATGCATGACCCTCAGGATTCACATTTAGATGTTGTACTTTATATTTTGAGATACTTGAAGTCTGCTCCAGATAAAGGACTGTTGTTTTCTAAACACGGTCACTTAAAAATAAAATGCTATATATGGATGTAGATTGGGCTGGATCGCCTGATGATAGGAGATGTACATCGGGTTTTGCACATTTGTCGATGGAAATCTAGTCACTTGGAGAATTAAAAAAAAATAGTGCAGTAGCAAGATCAAGTGCAGAGGTTGAATACAGAGCCATGGCTCAACGTGTTTGCGAACTTTTGTGGATTCAAAGACTAATGCAAGATCTACAGTTATCAAATGAGAAAAAACTGTTCTTATATTGTGATAATAAGGTGACCATTAGTATTGCTCACAATCCAGTTCAACATGATCGAACAAAACACATTGAAATCGATCTACATTTCATTAGGGAGAAACATCATTGTGGAATTATGGATCTCTCTCATGTGACGTCTGAAAATCAGTTGACTGATATTTTACTAAGGGTATCAGTAGCAAATCTTTCCATGGTTTAGTTTGCAAGATGAGTATGCGAGATATATATGCATCATCTTGTGGGGGAGTGTTGACAATATTACGTTAATTGATGGTTTTTCCCTATATTTGTCTTAATTAGGGCTGTAATTGGGGCTATAATTAGGACTGTAAAATAGGTTTTTATTTTTCTAAATATTATATTTTCCCTAGTTTAGAATATTCCTATTTTAGAACTCTTGTATAAATAGGTTGCATTGTAACTTTCAGGATTAAGACAATAAGAATTATACCATTCAGTCTTTTGTCTTCACTGTCAACAAGAAGTATTCTGGATTTGGTTATTGAAAAAAAGGCCACAGTGCAAACCTGGATTTGGTAAATTTGGATGGAAAGGTTTTGAAAAGCCTCAAGATAAGAAAGAAGAGACCTGATTTTATGAAGTACTGTTCAATTTTATGCATCCCTTTGGTCTTGCTCTACAAGCATCAGTTATTTTTTCATTTTTTTTTTATAAATCAGAATGCTTTGTTTTGTAATTTTCATCTTTGATCCATTTTCTGTTGTTTTCTAGTTTAATAGAAGTTCTTGGTTGATTGCTTATCTACATTACTGTGTAACTCGATTTTCTATTTGGCAATAAATTCATGTTTTTTAGAAAAAGAAAAAAAGAAATTATGCTTAGTGCTTTATGATTCTCATGGTACATTATCAGGTTCTTGCTGGTATGGGATCACAGTCACAAAATGGTGTGCATGTCCCTGCTGCATTCAGAAATTTCACAATGTCTCAGAAGGAAAAAACTTTGGATGAGCTGGTGCAGGACAAGTGGCTTTGTTACACAGAAGATGGTAAAATAGGACTTGGTGTCAGGTCTTGCCTTGATTTGCGGAGTTGGTTCCGCAATCTGGATGTTCCTTCCTGTGAAGTGTGCAATGAAGCTGTACTGAAGGTTGTATTCAATTGTTTCTTTGCTACTCGACTTTCCAGATCTGATTGATGTTTGTTTATTGCAAAGTTTTATTTTTGTTTTTAATTTGATTGGTCCATATGATTATTTTACCTAATTAGCTTATTCGATACCCTTAAAGGAAGTTCTTTCTGGGCTGTTCTTGATGCTTTATCTCAAATCATAATTAAGTGGGCTGTTCTTGATGCTTTATCACAAATCATAATTAAGTTTGTAACACTTCCAGCTAATATAGCTTTTATATGGGTCAGTTAGTTGGAGGTTAAGATATAAAGATATGCATAGTATCAAAGATAAAATGTAATGCCTAGTTATTGCAATTTACCAAAGAACTTGAGGATTTAAACATCAAACTGATGCATTAGTCATAGTTTTAAGCTGAGTTGCTGAATCATTGTTTACTGACTCCATTGATACTTTGTTTTTAATTATATTTGACAGGGAGAATTGTGCCAAAGTGAAGGTTGCGTGACTCGAATTCATCACTACTGCCTAAAGAAGAAATTTTCTCAAAAAAGGGTACAAGTCTTGACACACTCCTTGTATGAACAGATTTCTTGAAGATGATTATGTTAACGTAAATTTGTTTCAGGGCGAAGTAGTTTGTCCAAGTTGTGGCATGCAGTGGCAGTTTGAAGCACCTAAAGAAGAACCCTTAGAGGGGGAGGTGAATGGGTTAAGTGAGAGTGCAGCATCTAAGAGAAAGAGGCTTAGAAGTGCAGATGGTGGTGGTAGTAGTTCTTCTCAAGCTTCCATACGTAGCTCTGATACAAGAAGAGTGACTCGAAGTTCTCGTCAAATGTAAATGCTCTTATTACTGAGTATAAGATGGAAACTGCTTAACTGGGTATCGTGTTGTGGTGTATTTTACTTGGATTATTGATTAGCTTTAGCAAGAAGCTGATTACTTCATTTCATAAAAATTGAATATTTTGCTTTTTGATTTATTGAATTCAGTATGGACGATAAACAGGTGATAGAAATTGCAGTTATTAAAGCTCAAAAACTGTTGCAAACGCTAACATTATAAATAAAAAATTAATGTTTGTAAATATATTCAAAGGCTAATCCTTCATTGGACGTCCGAGTCCCCTTTGTCTTTTTAATTTTTGAAGGCCTCAGTTTCTTGGTTGCGCCTCAAGATCTGCAATTCAACATATAAAGTGCAAATTAATGAAGAATTAATTTAATAAATATAAATTGTATTACTTACATGAAATAGCCATCTGAAAGCACCTTGGTGAGTCTGAAACAATAATCACAGTAACAAAGCTTTTTGGTCGTTAACCTCAATTCTCCTTCTCCCAATGCCATGCTGGAGCTTTGAGTTGTATAATTAGGCTAGAATTTACAACTATATATATATATATATATATATAACTTGTTAATTTCAAACGCAAACAACTTGGGAATTAACCACTTACACCCCCATGAAGACCATAGTTGACCTACGAAAAGACTAAAATGCCCTATGATGTGGTTTTAAAAAGAAAAAGAAACTCCAAAAAAAAAATTTAATTTTTTTTAAAGTATATATATTATTTATAGAATATATTTAAATATTAGGAAATATACATTATTATTTATATTTTTAACTTTTTTTTCCGTTGTTTATTTAATCTTTTTATTATTTTGATTTTTCTGACTTAATTTGATAAAATAAATAAATGAATGCAAGTATAATTTTCATTTTTAGCTTATGTAATTAATAGAAGTTAAAGGAAATAATTTTTTTTTAAGTGAATTAAAGGGTAAAATGACATTTTTACACTTCTCTTCATCTTTTTTAACATTAGAATCCTCACGACTACTAATAAGGGATAACCACTGGAGGTTTATCTGACCGTTAACTTCAAGACCTCATAAGACTAGTTGAGGTGTGCACAAGTTAGCTCGAACACTCCTGGATACAAAAAAATAAAATAATAATAATAACAATAGGGGACGTTTGGATCATATAATGTTTTATTATAGGGATATATTATATTAACGGAAAGAAAGATCACCTTAAAGATCATTGAGAATATTTAGAAAATATATTTGGTTGGTTCAAATAAATTGGTGAATAATATATTTAGTTGAGAGGATAAATGGGTGGTTATGTTATATAGATTACTAAATTGCCCTCCTTTTTAAATATTAATATAATATTATTTTTTATTATTATTTTTTGAATAATTTTTTTAACCCCTTGCATTTAAAATTTTGCTAAAACACCTCATCCATATAAAATTTAAATTTGTAGCAAAATCACCCCCACCCACCCCAAGCCACTGCCGGCAGCCAGCTAGCCACCACCGCCAGCCGTTGCTGACAGTCGACAGAATGGTGCACGACTGGCCGTATATGGTCAGTTGTACGCCGGCAAAGCCGGAAATAGCCATGGATCACAAATCCATGGTCGAAAAATAGCCAGATCTATGGCCATTTCACGGCCAAAGATGTGACTGTGAAATGACTACAGATCTGGTCGTGAAATAGCCATAGAAACGGCAAATCTGGTCATTTTTGACAATGAATATGTGATCCATGGCCCAAAAATGCCTTATTGGTGCATGACTGGCCAAATCTCGTTGGTCATGCACCATTACGATGACTGACGTCGGCAGTCGGCGGTGGTGAGTCACGATTGGAGGTGGTCTTAGGTGGCTGGGGGTATTTTGTTAACTTTTAAATTTTTTTGTGGTTGAGGTGTTTTAGCTAATTTCTCAAATGTAGAAGGGTTGGATAATTGTTATTTGATAGACATTTTAGAGTAATTGTATCCGAAATAGTTTTTAATTAAGGGCAAAATGGGTAGAAAAATCAAATTACCCTGATAATGTTTTAATAACACCCCTTAACAAGGTGATAAGATTACCTCCCACATTATCAATAGTAAACACTATTTACAGTAAAAGATTATTGTAATATTTTATTACTTGTAAACCAAACACAGGAATTTTACAAAATAAACGAAGATTACTTCCATTATCTTATTTACCCCTGATCCAAATGACCCTAAGGGTGTAAGTGACCAATTCCTGAGTAAAATGTTTTGTTTGAGGGAGTGTAAGTTTTAATTCATTTTATTTTAAATTTATTTTGGGTAAACGTTATGTGTTCCAAGAACCAATGTTCCGAAAATCGGACCGGACTATGACCCGTTCAAGGGTTCGGTTTTCGGTTTGACTGGTTGGATCGGTCGGTTGGACCGTATTCTATAAAATTACATTTTAGTCCCTAAATGTTTGAAATTCATTAAAAACGCCCCAATAATACTCCCTTAAGGTTTGAAATCTGTCTAAAACACCCTGTCGAGCGAAGAGACTAGTGAGTGGTGGCGGGAGTGACGATCGACTGCCAATCGAAGTTGGAATCATGGGGCTTTTGATGTATAGGTTCCGACGAATCTGATGGTGGTGTTAGGGAGTTCCATCGGCGCCGGAAATTGCCAAAATCAAGAATGAAGTCCGACGGTCACATGAACTTTAGGTGGACGGCGAGTGACGAAGGCTAGACGATGACCACTGAAAATGGATGGGTTTTGTCGTGGAGATGTCGTCAAGTCGAATGATGGTGTTTTCTCTGTCGAACGATGTCGGAATCCGATGGGATTGAGTTGCGATTGGACCGCGACTCGACACTATTCTGGCGGTCCAACCATGGCTCAATCCGATTTAACTGAAAATGACAGTTTTTAGAAGATACCGGATCGAAGATATCGCCGGCTCTTGATCGAACTAGTCCGACCGAAAGGTCCAATCCGGTTTTCAAAACATTGCCAAGAACCATAAAAGCATTCATTGGTTTGGGAAATTGGACCCTAACTGTCCAATTTTCGGTTAGAAAAGCCTGTCAGAGTATGGCAATGTTAATTTTACCCTTAGGTTGACATGACAACCATTAAAGTACCTAAATACCCTCAAATTGATAACAAAACTATCAATATACCCATATACAAAAAAGACATATTCAGTGTAATCATTGCAAATTTTTTTATCTAGATTGACCATAATGCCTTTAATTAACATTGTGAAATTATCATTCCACTCTTAGTAGATGAAATTTGACAGTTTGAATGTGGCTGGTTCAACGGTCAAAGAGCTAGAAATGCAATAAAAAAACTCATTTCATTCTTCATAAGCACACTCATTTTCATTCATCTGCCCAAAACATATTTCTTATAATCGATCACAACAACGTTATCAAGCAACACAAGTAACCCTGTACAATTTTCAAATTCTACGTCAGTTTGTGTAAGAAGGAAAATTGGTGTTGTCAAGTTTAATAAGAAATGGTGTAGGTGAGAAAACATAGCTAATATAAAGATCTCCCAGACAACAAAGAATACGGGCATACTTTTTTTTTTTTTTTTTTTTTTGTTGCGCTTCTGTGGCCTCTATGCTTGGTGGGTGCCAAACAATTACAATTACAAATACAACATAAAACACGAGCACATGCAATATGACAAAAACTAAAGTAAGGAAAGCATTAAAAACAGTAGCATAACATTGACACTATGTTGAACACTTCCATTTACTAAACTACGAGAGTTCCTATTGTATATTGATCAAATTTTAGTGTGAGTTATTTGTTGAAAATTGACTTATTAGCAATTCATAAGGATCAGGAATTTAGCAATCCATAAGGAATGATAATTTAGCAATCCCACTTTTAGTGAAATAAGAATGGGATAATTTGTAATCCTACATCAAATGAGAATATAAATGGGATTAGGATTTTGGGTCTATATAAAGGAGGCAAAGTTTTATTGTTGTTCATCCCAAAAATTAGTTTCTCTTCTACCCCTATTGTAAAGGGTTATTACCCTATAGTTTAGAGTTTTTTTGAATTCCCTTTGTTTTGGGTATTTGTAGTATTGAAGTTTTTCTGCAACGCCCCAAGACGTAGGTAATAATATCAAACTTTGTTAAATTCTTGGTGTTCTTTATTTCTGCATTTATTGTGGCCATTTATTTCCTTTCTAGTAGTGTTATTATTATATTTCAATAGCTAGCGTTAGAGTTTGTGTTTCCGCTGCACAGCAAGTGATATTAGAGACAAGGTTTAGGATAGTGAGTAGTTATTTTTAGGAAAATTTTGTCAACGGGACAATAAGTGTCTAAGAAGGCTGAGTTTTAAATGAGACCGTTTGTGACCCCTCCAGTGCTTCCTGAGAATTTTCTTGGTGCATATTGAATCATTTTTAGCACTTACTACTATCTTGGGCTATTGTTAATTTTTTGGCTAGCTATTGAATATAATAATTTGTGGAGCTTGGTTAATGGGGAAGTTTGAGCGAGACACAAATGGTATCATCATTAGAAGATTCTCTACCATGAAAATTGAGTAAGGAACAAAGGGCATCATCGTCTACATCAGTAAAACTGATGACGGTTACAAATGCAAAAATTGATGTTGAAAATTTTGATGGTCAAAATAACTTTGACTTATGATAGTGTGAGATAATGGATAGCTTGTGTCAACAAGATCTCGATATAGTTCTAGAGGAGGAAAAACCAGAAGATATTGATAAGAAAGATTGGGTGAGGTTGAATGTAAAAACTTGTGGGATAATTCGCTCATGTCTTTATAGAAAGCAGAAGTATCCATGCATAAAAGAGAAATCTGCCAGTAAGTAATGGAAGGTGTTGTAAAACAAATACATTAAGAAAAGTAATGAGAATTGACTCTATTTGATGAAAAGATTGATTCATCTTCAGTTACAACCAGGTACGAGTATTAGTAGCCACATTAATACATTCAACAAACTGATTATTGATTTGTTAAATTTGGGTCAAACATTCAAAGATGAACTTAAAGCCATGCTATTGATTGGTTCTCTTCTGTATGAGTTGGATCATCTTAGTATTACACTTCTTCATGGGAAAGAAAACTTATTGTAATAACTCTCTCTCTCTCTCTAGCTAGTATACTCGTAAAATAAATAGTAATATAAGTATATATATATATATTAAATAATGGGCC